TCTTTCAGACTTGTAGTAATTACAATAATTTCAAAGTCATTTCTAAAAAGAAATAATTTCAATCCAAATGTTTTGACAAGATCTTCTGAAGGCATGAATTTTGCTGCTGATGCATTGCCAAAGACCTTGTGATATTCTCCACTTTCTGCACCTTGGAATTAGGAGATATTCAACTAGTGAGAATGCTCTAGTTACAGCTCAAATGGTAGATATATTCCATAATTCATGCCAGGATAACAAAATTTACTAAGATATTGAATAAAATCTTTATTAGATGAGAATAAGAATTAAATAATTCTGAATTACCGTATTCATCATTTCCCAGTTTTTGTCAGTTTGTCTTTATGCCTCCAAGATATGGTTTTAAAAATTTAAAATATTGCCATTGCGGCATTGCCAGCAGTATTCAGGATCACAGGATGTGTGGCCCCGTTGCCAGCAGTATTAATCTATGATGATCACCATGACGTCTCTTGACCGAGTGTAGCTCAGGCCCACCTCCCTTTGGAGTGCTGAGCCAGTCTTGTTACACTGATTAGTTGCGACACTTCCACTGGCTTATTCGATAGATCTTCAGGCTGTAGGCTGGATGGATTTCAGCACACCCAAACAGATGTTGTGTGTGGTGGATGTGATTTTGACACAGAGGGCATGATGGTATTGGGTAATTAGCTGCATTGATCTTATTGAGGTACTCCCTAAGCATTGGGCATTTCCCTGCCCTTAACTGCGCCAATGTTTGCCTCATGCCTTGGTCCAAAGTCCTCTCTGTTTTGTTTACTTTAGGTGCTGGTGCACTTAGAATCTTGTCAGGTGTTTTTGACTCTAGATATCTCTTGACTCTAGATATCTTTTGACTCTAGATATCCTGACTTGACTCTAGATATCTCTTGTTGTTGCTGTTGTACACTTTTATGCTATACTCACTGTTGTACATGTAATATGTTGTATATACACTGTCTTTTTCATGATTCTCATTGGCTTTTGATTTATCAGACTTCTCAGTGAGTACCCTTCTAGTCTGCTCTTCTCCCTCAGTTATGAGGCCATCATCTGCATGTGGTTCTTCAGGGGTAGGACAGCTATTTTGTTGTGAAGGTGTTGTACATTGGTATTGTGTGTATGTCCTGTGGCAATTCTCAGGGCAGAGTTCTGAACACAATTTGTATTTTCTGCCAGCCACTCTCTGATGTTATGGGACCCCATATACTACTTCCATACTCCAGAACTGGACGTATCAGTGCCTTGTAGGTTTGTACAATCATTTTTGTATCCTTTCCCCAGTCAGCTCCAGACAGGGCTTTTAAAATCATTATATTTTTTTTTGCTTTGCTTGCAGTGCTTCTTACATGTTCAGAGTAGGTCATTTTTGGATCAAAAGTCACTCCCAAGATTCTTGGATGTTTCTCCATTCCCAACATTGTTCCTCTCAAATTGAGCTTCAGGTTTATGCTGTACTACTTGGGATCCGGTGTTAATTGTGTGACTTGAGTTTTCTCTGTGTTAAGGCTTGTAGTCAAAATGCAGCGAAGTCTGAGAGGGAGGTTTTCGCGACCATCGTGTAAAATCCTTGATCTGCCCAAAGCTTGGCCAGTCGCTACCCTTGAGCTTGTACTCTTTGAAATATGATATCCTAGCCAGACCCTTCTTTGTGGTAACTGGTCGCTTTCAGGTGGCCGAGGAATGGCCAACGGTCGGCTATAACTAATTGGAAAGGCCAACCACTGGCCATGTATTATTCTTCGCCCCTCATTGACTTTGCCTTTACCATGCCACCTGTTGTGAACTGACAGTTGAGTAATTTACGACATCTCTGTCCCCTCAAACATTGCACAACGTCTCCAATTGAGCAGCTAGTATGCGGGATTTTCCCTCCGCGTATCAGCAGACTCAATCATAAATATTTTTTGGTAGAAAATATCTATAACAAGGACGCTGATCAAGGAATGCCGAATATACCATTCAATTGACAATAAAAATTACAACCCATTTATATCTCAAAAAAAGTGTAAAAGCCGCAGACATGATGAACAATAATATTCAAAGTTTCTTGAAATTTCCTCTCATTAAAACTCTTTTAATACAAAGTTTACATATTTTTTACTACTGGTCGACGCTTATAAATAAATAGCTGGGAAAGTATGGAAAAATCCTTATCGCCATCTCATTTGCGAGTGGAGTAAAGTCTATCCTAATTAGTGAAGAAACGCATAGGGAAGAGCCCAGCCTGTTCGAGGCCTCTTGGGTCTCATTCAGGGCCTTAAGCAACAGGTGGTTGTTCTCTATCCATTCTGCAAAGCTGTTAATGTATCTTTATGACTTGCCAATACCATGATGTTGTCTGCATTGGTACCGGTCACCACTTCAATTCTCACTCCTTCTTGCGGTGTTGGTAGGTCTGCCATGTATACATTAAACAGTACTGGGGACAGCACCCCCCGCTGAGGTGCTCTTCCATGATAGGTTCTTTGATAGGTAAGTTAATTTTAGATGGATGGATCTGTGGTGCAGTACTGTTTAGAATTTTATTGTGAGGAAGGGTTGTGAGTTATTTTTCTGTGATCATGGTGTGGATTGTTTTGAGATTTTGTTTAATTGTGTCTTGTGTGGTTTGTGCTGGTGGAATAGGTATCTATATTGGTGGTAAAGCACGCATGCAAAATGGTTTGTTTCATGAGGCGGTGTGGGTGTGGCTGTGAGGTGAAGGTATGCAATTGCAATGGGTGGGTTGCATTTTGTGCTCTCTGTTTGAGTTGTGAGGCATAAAGGTTAAGGTGTTGTATTAAGGGTATGAGTTTGGTTTTTGGTGATGGTAATGGATGTTAGTGTCAGCAGCATAGCGGCACTAATCAATTAGGAACTTTTGTTAACAATTACATAGGAGGTAATTCATCTAGAAGTCAATACAGATTATGAAATAAACAATATTTTTAAAAAATTGCAGGTAAAACATGTCATTTCACAGATTATTAAAAAAGGCAAAAATGTGCTGTTTCTCATAATTTTTTCTAGACAATCTAAACAATATTTGCAGAAAAGGTAAAATTGACTGCAAGCATTGACATTTTTGTTTTATTCATGGTTTGCTCCTGCATGATTTTCTAGTTTGGCTTGCAGGTATCTTGCAGCTTCAAAAATACTATCCTGGGAATATTGGAAAGAAGCCACTTATGAATGAGATGGAAATGCCCATGCTTGTGGTCAATAATCATCAATTTCACATGTTGTAGCACTTCCCACTAAGCTCGCACAAATATGCAAGACTGTAGCTACCATGTCCTTGCCCATGGAAACAAATACCTACCTACTGAATGTGGTCTGAAGGATTCACATTCAGAAAGGAATGAAACATGGAAAACCCAAAATTTACTGCAAACCACAACACAAAATAGCAAATAAAACAAGTATACTAAGTAGGTGCCACATAACAGATTTCCAGTGTTTTGAGTTTAACACATTTGGTTGTTTGGGTTTAATGCACTAGCGGGGATGCAAAGAAAATACCTGCCAGATACATCTAATTATAGCTTTTCAAACTCTATATCTTTGCAACTTTTGCAATAAATGCTGGTGTGGCAGTGAATAAAATTGTTTTAGTGTTCTCTATTATATTGTGTTCACTGTATTGTGCTCATCTATTTTGTTAGTTTGCTAATGCAATACATAAGTTGTGTATATATATAATAGTTGGGTGACCTTTGAGAAAACCATGCTGGTAATCTGATGAAAATGGCTTCATATGCTGGAGACAACTCTCCTGGATGATGATTTCCATTGCTTTTCAAATGACAAAAGTCAAGCTTACTGGTTGGTATTTTGCTGGAATCATTTTTAATAACCTTTTTTGAAAATTGAGTTGACCTAGCCATCTTTCCACTCTTTTGACAAACTTCTCTTTCAAAAAACACTTTAGAAATGAATAAAAGTGGCTTGTATAGTTATTTACAGGCTTCTCATGACAGTTTGGAATGAGTGCCGTGCCTTACCAATCCCCTGCTTTATGCCCAAGGTGCAAGCAGAGCATTGTACTGCTTGAAGGTTTGAAATAGTTCTGAAGGTTTGAAATAGTGAAGGTTTGAAATAGTTCTGAAGGTTTGAAATAGTGAAGGTTTGAAATAGTTCTGAAGGATAGTTATAGCATAAGTCGTCATTGTAGTGCTCAACGGGTTGTTGTTTATTACACTGTATTACGGGTTATTGTTTTATTTTATTTATTTGTTTGTATTCATGTCCTCTTTTTTGAAATTTATCTCTGCATAAATTGGCCTGATTTGTGCATTAATAATTTCTTTGTAAAATTACTACAAAATTTCAGGTACTAGTCAAATAGCAACTCATGGCACACTTGACATAGAATGGCTTTATCTTTTGTTCAATGATTTGCATGCAATTTATTTAATGAATAACCCATTCATTTTTCAAAACACAGCTCCAGGAAAGGCTGACTGTGTTGTCTATAAATAATAATTCAAAGTATTTTTCAAACTTGGATTAGAATTAGTGCATATGCTTGTGCTTAGCAGCAAACTATTCTCACAAACATACAATAAATTGCATGCATCTTGAATTTGTATGACGTTACTTGGAATCTAACCAGTCTGTGAATTGTGCAGGACTTGTCAGTCTTTGGTTTCTTTCACCAAAATATATTTTCAGTAAAGTCTTGAAAATTATTTGATTTATTTAAATTAATCCAATTAAATTAAACAAATCAGGTCCAATTAAAATGAATGAGCACCTACCTATGATATAAATTCAATCAAAACTCTACAAATTAAAATATAAAAATTCAATTAATCATCTGCATGTCAAAGTTGCCTCCTTGTATCTTGGCTTTAATGATAAAAAGTTAATTATTATTGTGTTGTCAGGATATAGGAGCTGTCTTACTTTTATTGCCACCTGCATTGTGATAGCATCAAGTGATTATTAAACTTTGATAAGGGTCAGGTAAATCCTTCCTATTGCTCTTAATGTTTGGTTTGTTTTCTTTCAGATGCTGGGAGAGTGGAGTCAGACTTGAATTTTTCACCTATCAACCTGAATAAGAAATGTATTGTCCATTAATTTGAGCATTTTTTACATCAAAGTGTGCCATAAATTATTTTTTATCTGATGAAAAACCATGGAAGCGAATAGAAACTCCATTGTTTCTACAAGAGATTTAGCAATGGGAGCTCCACTTGCTACTTATATTGTCTACGATGAAAATCTTACTACCAGTCAGGATAAAGATGCCTACCCTTATCAATACAGCTCTACTGGTAATGCCATCCTGGCCAATGGTGGTGCCGGCCTCTCATACTATTCAAACATCAATCAAATGAACATTTTGCAACCCACACCGCAGGTAAACGTCAATGCAAATGGAGGTATCATTTATGATCCAGTTAATCCAGCGGTCCTCTCCCATCAGTATCATGTTCTAAATGCTAACCCTGGTGTTCATCCCAGCTTTGCCAGTGTACCTGGATTCGTCAGCCAGTTAGCTCCGGCTGATCAAATGAAAAATGTCCCTCCAAGGATTGTTCTACGTGAACCGGGAAGAACCATCGATTCACAGTACCCATCTCTGCAAAGTGTAATTTTAAATCGGCGAGCGGAAGATGCATCTGACGTCACATCTCAATATCGTGTGTATGGTGATGTGTATCAGCAACCCCCTCAACCTGTAGGCAAAACTTTTTACGTCACTAATAATGCACCAAATACGGTGATTTTTAATCCACCTCAAACTCTGGCACTCAGTAAAGTCGAATCTTTGCCAATACATCCGCCTCTTTTGCAGCCCAAAATCGAGTCTAACAAGAGTACGTCCCCTGTGGTCGAGTCGTCAATGAAAAACAATCGAAATAACTTTATTTCATGTCAACCTGCATTAGACGAGAGCATGATAAGCAGTCAAGAAGAAAGATCTTTAATGGCTGCTAGGTCAAGTCTTGCTAAAGAAAAAGCTCATGTTGAAGAACTTCGACGACGACTTCTGTTGAAAGAGAAAGCATTAGAAGAAAAAGAGCAAAGACTGAGCAAGATTCAGAGCAACAAAACTTGCTCACTGGAAAGTGAATGGACAAATACGGAGACGTCAAATAATGAAGCTGAAAATGAAGATTCTGATGTTAGATACAATGGACCGTGGAGAAACTGTGGTTCGCCGATGGAGGAGCCAGATAATGTTATTTATGTAGAAGAAGAAATTAGCGACCAGCCACCCTCCCAAAATCTCAGCGAACCCTCTGCCCAAAAGAATGTCATGGAAGATCTGCACGAAAATCTAGAAATCAATCCTCGCCTGTTCGCGAAAACTTACAAACGTAAGCCAAGACGGTCATCCGACGGTCGAATATCCCAAACTGCCCTCCCAGGCCGATCAATTCCGGATGCTGATCAACAAAGTGAGTTCAGCGTACCTGAAACGCTAACAAATGGGAACTCCAGTGTCACCATCACTCCCGTTGATGATCAGAATGTTGTGCACGAAACTTCGTCACTTCTTTTCAAGGCTTTGTCCGGTACATCAGTTAATGCTTTTAAACTTCCTAGCAGTTATGACAACTCAAGGAAACTACAACTCCATGACACAGCGATGCTTCGGGCGTTCCGTCCAAAGATGGAGCCTACTAGTTGGACTGCTGAGGGAGTAGTGCCATCTTTTCCCAGTGAACGTTCGTTGTTAATACCCACGTCAAACGCTCGGCAGCGTACAACTAGAATGGATGGTATTGTGCCCGACTCTGAAGGCAATAAATTATTTGTGAACTATTACGAAAATCCAGAACAAACCGGCGACGTTTTACTGAACACTGTCATTCCTCAAAATACGGAAAATCTTTCACCAGTGGCCAGTTTTATAGTTCATTCACCTGAGCCAGGTTCAGAAGAACAAGAAATTGTTAATGGAAATAACTTCACTGGCTCTGAAATGTACAGAGATGTCCCTCAGGTAATACAACGACAACAGTACGTTAATTACGCACCAGATCTGCTGAAAATCGTGCCGTCTCAAAGGACTGACACTGGGTACATAGTATCTTCTGAAATAAACCCAGTTTCTCCCGTTTCTGAAACTCGATTAATTTTGCACCCAATGCCTGCTGTAACGGCCTCGGATCCGACAATGTATTATGATAGCTCTTCGTCACGCGACTACCGAAGCAATTCTCTTGCCAGGGCTTCTTTAGAGGTATCTAGTGGTTTAGTTCGAGAATCGTTAAACGAAGACTCTCGTGTGAATGATGTAGTCGAAGGAGCCAAATCTATTCCAAGTGATAATTGCATTTCTATTTCTGTTGACCAAAACACCGAACTAAGAAACCAAGCATGTGTAGAGTGCGACGTTCATGATAAAGCTGGTGTTCAAAGAAAATGTTTAGAAAGTTGCGCTGATTGCGAAACTTGGACACGAGATCGCTCTCCTTGTAGACAATCCGAAAACCTGAATCCCGCAACAGAAGCAATTAGGTCAAGTACTATCGCCCCCTGCCCTGAACTACTTCCTCTTAATGTTTCCGGCGAAATTGTTGAGACGGTGCGTAGTGTCTCCGAAGAACATGATCAAGTTCAAACCAATGAATCATGTACCGATATTCAGTGCATAACCGCGGCTAAAATGTCAGACTTTCGTGAAGACCTTCCTAGGAAATATTCTATTGTTTCTAATCAATGTCCAGCCTCACCTGACTCAAGATCATCTAATACAAATCAGGGGATCGTCTACCGAAACGCCACTACTGCCTCCGCAGTGATTCTTTCTTCACCACGCGAATCATTTCTTCCAAGTTCACCCGAGGAATCTTATTTCGACAACTCGGAATTAATCAGTGACCATTTAAATCACGATGAAACACCCGCTGGCGACTTTGAAATGCCTGAAAGTACTTCAGAACGTGGCCGGGATTTAGAGGTTTCATCAGTCATTAATGAAGCTCGCGTTGAGATCGTTGATGCCGACACTGATCTCACGCAGCAAAGCCCCGCGAGGGAACAACATAACATCACTCCTTCTTTGCCTCACGCAAGATCTTCATCCCCTATATTTGCAGATTCTCATCTCGAGAATCAACTCTCTACCGATCCATCTTCAGAAACTGACAATATGGAGAATTTATCACACTTTTTGGACGTGGCTGACTCGAATTTGAACAGCCCTTACCAGGGAGATGGTTTGTTGATGAGCTCTCCTGGAAGAGAAGTCGTCTTCGACGATGAAGACAGCGCATCTGATGAAGCCGTCATGCAAGCGATGAGTTCTCCTAAAAGGAAGGTCTTTGATGATATGGACGATGCTTGTGTCGAAGCCGCCTTAAATAAAAGTGAGCTTATAAGTCCTGACAACAGTGTTGTGCTAGGCGAGAGTGTCAGCATCCCACTGCCCTCGAAAACCAAGAGAAAGCAAAGTAAAAACAGGAAAACTACCAAGAATAGAAACAAGAACAAATGCAAGAAGTCGAGTAACGTTTCGGACTACGAATCTTGTGATTTACCATACGAATGCGGCGTGTGTAAAGACGGTGTGTTGTTTTTGGAGCATAAGGACTTTGTGAAACATGCATGCTCAGTGCACAACGGTTGTGCTCGGCCTGAAGGTTTGTCGCAAGACTTCGATGAGTTCGAGGCTCGCATCGCTCGTAAGCGAGTGCTGGCTGGAGGTATGAAGCTCGTATGTGAGCGCTGTAAAGCCTCTTTCGCGAGTTTACTAGGATACGAGGGCCATATGTTGTGGTGTGGGAAATCAGAGTTAGAACGCTCGCATCTCTGTCCGAAATGCGGCTGGTGTGGCACCATTTTCACTGTCAGAAATCACGTTCGTAACTGTACAGGTGTTGCTGGCGTCGGTACCAATGTTCCTGAGAAACCTGTGGCACGGAAGCCTAGGGTCTCCAAAAATAAATGCACTGCGTTACAAAACATGGATGCTGGTGATAGTGATGACGAAAATTTTGATCCCGACCCTAAAACTCCGAAAAATTTCGCTGAAATGAATTTCAATGATCATTTCCGGAACTTCTGCGAAAAAGTTGACGATGATGACACTGATTCAATTTATTTCGCTTGCTCTGTGTGTCCTCCAGAATGTACAAGCATTCCGGTACTGTCGGCCGAAGCCATGATAGCTCATCTCATTCAGAAACATCCGGATAAGTTGAAGGAGTCTTCTATGTCAACGAAACGATGCGGCAAGCGAAAGTTCTTCTCTTCTAAGAAGCCATCTGACGACCGACGCAAATCCTTGAAAGTCGCCCTTGACTACAGAGAAGCTAACCACTCCTCGCGGCTGTTCGAAACGTGGTGCGTGAGAATAGAGGAATGGACCTCACTTTCAGATGCTAATAGTTATCTCCAAACGTGTCGTGTGTCGACGAAATTCGCAGTGTACGAACCTGATAAGGAACTAGAATGGCGCTCGCTGCCTCTCTACGAGGCTGTGAAATATAAGACGAGTAACTACATTTATTGCGGCGGTTGCATCACCGCCAGCGCTTGGTGCCCCATGCCATGTAATAATTCATTCGCTCAAACCAACGAACAACTCATAGCTATTGCTGTTAGCTCACAGGATGGCGACGCTGTCATCACTCCACCAACAAATGTCAAAGGCACCATCCAGATTTGGAATGTACGCAAACTCGGCAAACCCGAGCAACGCAAAGACCTTCCTTTCGTGTCTTTCATAATTGCTCATGATTTCGGCCACGTGACGTGCCTTCAGTGGTGTCCATCAGGAGTATTTGAATCTCTTGACTCTGGGAACCGACTTGGGGTACTAGCAGCTGCTTGCTCTAGTGGGTCGGTCCATATTTGGTACGTGCCACACCCGAAATTTCTTCCCACCGCCTCACCTCCACGCGTATATCTTAAAACTCCCGACCTAACTCTGCGGCAGATAAGTTTTGGTAGTGAGGATGAAATTAGTGTTCCTTTGCGCTTAGACTGGCAACCGTCGTTGGGGCATTCGATGATAGCTGCGTCTATGAGCGACGGCTGTGTTTGTATCTGGAACCTCAGTGACACTTGTTCGTGCCGTGACGCTGTAGAACCTAGGGTTTTGTATCCCGTCAAGAGTTTCAATGGGCATCTGGGAGCTGCAGGGGCCTTGGCATGGTGTCCCAGCACTGGTGGGGCCCACCTCGCCACTGGAGGAGCTGACCACATGCACCATTTGTGGGACCTGGAAGGTTACGGTCAACCCTCACGGATCTCCACCATCCGAAGAGACGTGGTAACTGACACTAAATGGCCTATCAACACCTCCGTGACAGCCCTTGCATTCGAGGATTCGGTGACTGATGGCTCTACTTCAGCCTTAAGAGAATGTGGTTACTTTGGTTTTTCATTGGCTTACCTAAAGTCACGAACTCCAACCTGGAGTATTTCGTACAGCGATGCTCTAAGCGCCATACTACAAGGCACAGATGCCGGCGACTGCATCGTTACTTTTCCCAAGGATTTTTTTAAAGTTTCTAACGACAAGCCGCATCGTCATCATAAAGCTTGTTTCTCGGCTACAACCAAAATGTTGCCATCACAACCCGGGCAAAATGTGCCCACAATGGGTATAGTATTCCATCACGCTCCAGATATCATCGAAACTAAACACAGCCGGCCTGTAGATCCTCTCTCGTTTAAGGTCTCCTCCGACAAGAGCAGTCCGCCCACTGAGAAGCGTACTTGGAACAGCTCACTTCTGACATCTGTGACGAGTGTAGCTTTTAACCCGAATATCGGCTCGCATGAGTGGATTTTTTGTGGATACAGAAGCGGTTTAGCCAGAATCGTGGCGGTGCCTTTGGGTGTGAGCTAGTACCAAGATCCATCTTTCTGAATCGCTGTATCAATTTTGAAAAAGTTAAACTTGTCTACTTTATATTGAGCTGAATCCTAAAGATTTACAAATTTTAACTTATTTTACCTCCGCTATTATTGCATCCGTTGTACATTATCAAAACGTTGCCATATGGCGCACCCTCTATCTTTAGTTAACTGCACAAGCTCGTGTATTATTACATGAGCAAGAAGACAATGAAATATTCTTGCGTTATCTTTGTTTATTTTAATTGCAAGTGTGTAGTTTAAGTATTTCATTATTACCTAAGATGAGAGCTCCTTGTACGTATATATCGGGAGACTGTGTGCAGAGGATTTACTTGCACTTTGATTTTCTGTAAAGCTTGCCAGATGTTTTTTTCTGTAATAATTTGTTATACTTACGAAGCAATCTTTCCTATGTGTATATATCAATTTATGATCAATATGCCTCTTGCATACTGATAACGTTTATATTGTGTGGAAAAGAGCAACAGTGTTTGTTTAATATTGTGTAGATTCGCTTTAAGAATGCTTTCTTCTAATTACCAAATTTTTTATTTCTTGTTAAATGTCTTGTGTAAATTTGCACGTATGTGTTCTTGTAATTATTTACGATTGTGTTAGACATTTGGGTCGAGAGTGCTGGGTGGCGTGAGTAGGTGCAGCAGAAGTTAATACCCTATTTTCGATGAGTAATTTTGAAGTACAAATTATCGGCTTCGATAACACCATTTATGAACCGTTCAATATAACTGTTTAGTCTCAGATTTCAATTTTATATGTTTACATTACTTTGATAGACTAGCTTTCGCTAACTCCTGCATTTTCGTCTTCACCGGCTCTCACTGATTTAGGACCATTGGGAAATATTTTTCATGACAGTGCTTTAGTTCACGTGGAGTCGAATTTCTGTCATTAAACCATCGTCTAAATGCTCGTGTTTTTGCTATTCTATGCCACTTATTCTTCTTTATTGCCACGTTTGGAAGTCGTAATTGTTAATTTTGTGCGGTTGTCACTACAATTATTTTTAGTGTGAATTTAAACTGTAATTCTTTTTGTGTAACTTGGTCAATTCATTCAGTTACGTTCGATTATTGTTAAGCGCAAGGATCGCTTGAAGAATATTTTCTTTATTGTAATCTCTTAGAAAGTTTTCATGGTGTCCCTGATATTGTCACCGTCCTTATTGGTTAATTGACTTGATAATTGAAAATATCCCTCGAATAATAGTCCCTAAACTCAAATTTTTTCTTTAAAGATTTCCACAATCTTCGTATATTGTATACAATATTAACTCGGATAAATAAATAAGTATGACTTTAACGAATGGCGATGCTCTTTTTGATCCATCCAATTAATTTACGTCAAAATTCTCGTTTAGCATTATTTTTTTCTGATTTAAATTCGCTGAAATGAGTTAAACTTAATTAAACAGAGCGACACCCTAATTCGGGGATAGATTCTAGTGTGCAACCGAATTAATGTCAGGAAGTACTTATAATATTAAGAGCTAATTGGTTCATGTGGTTTTTCCTAAGCAATGAATGTATCTCACCTACCATTGGAAATCTGTTCGTGTGTTTTCGTTGATACACGCAAAATGTATTTGTGATGTGTCACTTTACTCAAAAATCAACTGGTTTTATTTTCCGAAAAATGGCGCTCTTTCTTTCTGAAAGAAGACGCAGAGAGCGAACGTAGCTGTGATATGCCATATTTGCTTTCCTGTCTGGATGACCCACGCTAGGGTGAAAAGTGCATTGCTATTTGGACAAAGTCTCGGTTATTTCTCTGAGAGATCTTTCGGACGTGACATGTAAATTTTTTCAAACTTTTTTTTTCATTACGCAAATTAAATGGACAAAGTCTCGGTTATTTCTCTGACAGATCTTTCGGACGTGACATGTAAATTCTTTCAGACTTCTTTTTTTCATTACTCAAATTAAAAATATTGCAGAGGATTGCGTAAGATTCATTTCGTCTCGTTATTTTAAATATATTTAGTGTTGATGAACGTAGCCACCGAGGCACCGTGTACCTGACACTTTCCCTTTCAGCCAAGATCGCATAATTGTTGCAATATCTTATTATTGATTAATTAAAGTTCTCCGAATGTCATCGCTTTGTTTTATTCTAGCCTCTTTTTCATTGATTTTCCGTAACAGTTATTGGCCGACTTTTCGTAGCTGTTATTGACCTATTCTCGTCTCTCAATAATTCGAACCAGTGTGGGATCTCTTATAATCTAAACAGCTTTGAAAAATTGATCGACATACTACGATGTTCATGTTTGTCCAATTACTGTGGTTAAATGTCCGAAGAAAATTATTACATCATTTTCATAGAATAATGAAAAATAAAGAATATTAAAAACTGGAAAAATTGAGATACCTAACTACAATAATACGCTGCCACTTACTTAATTTTTAAATAGATACGTTTCGGGTATAATACGGAAAAGAACCACGATTGTTATTGTAATATTGTGGATGAACAATACCGCTGATAACCATATGATTCTAGTTCGTTGAAATTATTATTATTGGCGCTTGTGTAGCTATGCCCGCGCGAGCGGCCGCATTGCAGCCGCTGGCCCATACATCTGCGTTAGGATGTCAGCTGTCGCCGCGGCGATCAGGCATAGCCTCTCGTCCATCTTCGTTGTTGCCCGTATCTTGCCATGGCGCCCTCCGTGCATGAGGAATAAGTGCCACGGCGCCCTCCGTGCATGTGGAATAAGTGCCACGGCGCCCTCCGTGCATGAGAAAGACGTGCCACGGCGCCCTCCGTGCATGAGAAAAACGTGCCACGGCGCTTTCCGTACATGAGAAAGACGTGCCACGGCGCTTTCCGTACATGAGAAAGACGTGCCACGGCGCTTTCCGTACATGAGAAAGACGTGCCACGGCACGGATTCAGGACACGGATAAGAAATCCAGGCCAGGCGCCCTTCATACACGAGGTCTCTATGCTACCAATTTTTCATGGCAAGGCGCCCTCCGTGCAAGTAGTATCCATGATACTAATTGTTCGAGCCATAGCGCCCTCCGTGCAAGTAGTATCCATGATACTAATTGTTCGAGCCATAGCGCCCTCCGTGTACGTGGTATCCATGATACTAATTGTTCGAGCCATAGCGCCCTCCGTGCACGTAGTATCCATGATACTAATTGTTCGAGCCATAGCGCCCTCCGTGCACGTAGTATCCATGATACTAATTGTTCGAGCCATAGCGCCCTCCGTGCACGTAGTATCCATAATACTAATTGTTCGAGCCACGGCGCCCTCCGTGTACGTAGTATCCCTGTCTCTTATACACATCTAGATGTGTATAAGAGACAGAGGTAGACCATGGTTGAACTAGTAGATATATAGTTCAACCATGAGGTAGACATCTATCAGGAAATATCCAGGGACGAATGGTATTAACATTGTCACCTGACACTTGATAATAAACGTTTAAAAATTAATTTTAATCCCATGTATGATGATTTCTAATTTTGAAAAATTATTCACTCTGTCAATTGATTCATGCATTGTCTCCGACTTTACGCAAGTGTGCAAAATTTCAGATCGATTGGACAGGTAGAAGCGTGTTAAATGTCGATTATAAGATTTGTAGCAGACAAACAAACGACAAGAAGTGAAGTTAAAGAGAAGTGTTGCAAAAAGTACATCCAAAATTGCTGGTCTTACTGGTCCTTCATCCAGGTCCGGATACATGGCTTGCAGAAGATGTGGTCACAGTTCGGCAAGAAAGCATAATCGCTGTCCTCATCCAGCACCACATCCTGACATATTGGACAGGCATCCCCTGTCCTGTTGATCAAGAAAAGATCTCGAAGCGTTCGTATTTGCAAACATCTTCTTTCTCTACACTCGACATTAGTCATCTCGCCCAAAACTATGGCTATTCTGTGTGTCATTTTCGAGTAATTCGCCATCTCAATCACAGCGGCCGCGAGACGATGTATAATGTTGTGACACATCTCTGTTCTGAGCTCGCCTGAAATTTTGGTCCGGAAATGATGCAAGAGGATCATAATATTGTGCCAGTGTAAAACTCTGTTCCCCAACGCAAGATTACACAGCTCTGCTTTGCATTGTGGCGTTATAAGCACGGAGAGGGTTAGTAGAGAATTCTCTAATAAGTACACCCGGAACAGCCGGTCAAGTAGAGGGACACCCGAAATAGAGGGTTTTTCTCCCAGTAGCTTTTTAAGGCCCTTTTTTAAAACGAGCATGAGACTGTGGTGGTCACAGTCAGGATTCTTTGAACATTCAAGGACCGTACGCTGACTGCTTAGTAAGCACAGAGCATCGTATTGCTCTTCACTCAAATCCTGGGAATGAACAAAAATGGTACGAATATCAATCAATTGTAAACTATATTGATGCATATATTGTACGTTGAAATTAGTATAGCAGCATAGATGAAGATTACGTTGAATCAAAGCAGTGAACTATGTACACTTTCGCAAACAAAATGGATTTTTTTTCTGTGAAGTCTGTAGACTGTAGGTGACGGTAGGTACAACTTAAAGCAATAAACATTAGTGACTGCTAGTCTGTTTTTCTAATCCTCCCTTCATCTTTAGGATTATTCCACGCATTATGGCAAATGCTAAAATTGAATATTTATAAATAATTTTCAGCATCATAAGTCGTTTTAATCGAGATCAGGAAATAAGAATAATAAGTTCAGAAAGAACAGCAAGATAAACTGTCGATTTATTACTAAAACTTACATTATTCTGAACAATTTTCCATAATTCCCAACTTTCCATCTTAATAAAATATACCTTTTAATCTACTGAAAATGAATTTAAATCTCATCTTGAATGAATTTTGAATCTCATATGAATTGAAACCCTATACAGATTAATTATATTTATTTGATCCATAAAAAAATAAATACGAGTAGTTTTATGCAACTTACTTCACTGACAAATGATTGTGACACCATGCACAGAAGCTCTGCTAGTCTGTCGATGTTTTCTATGACTTTTTCGTCCCACCAAACAGATGTATCGTCACGATGCTGCTGGGACAAAGAATGTAGCCTTTCCATGCATTCTTCGGCAGAAATAGGATGTGACAGGCCAGGTATCCTGGACATTTTCAGTATTGCCGTCGATTTTTCCATCCTGTGTAGGTCCGTGAGCAAGCTCTCCAACTCTGACTCGTAGTCCATTGGCAATTCTTCGACTTCAAATTCGCATGGTGCGAACTGCGAAGTTCCTGTGAGAGAGAAGATAAAACAATTAGAACACGTCATGAACGCAGGCCAGTCATTCGTGGATACGACGGCTTTAAAGTCAGGACAAAACAACTCACATTAAGATGCAGCGCCAAAAACTAGTTAGCTATTACGCAAGCCGAGTCCAAACGTAAGATTATTTTAAAATAAATAATTTTGATTATTAACTCGTAACCTATCGAGCACCGGAAAAATCAAGCGTAATATGCGGGTAAACAATCACGATTCTCACTAAATTAAGTGTTGAAATTCGGTCAGCGTTTCTCGCTCAATATTTCTTCCGTAAACCGGCGGCCTCGCAACTTCAAGCAGTCAGGCACGACCTAATCTTTACACCCACAAAGAAAGTTTTCAGAAAATTTAATAAAAATTTCGTACACAAGTACTACAGTGGCATATGCTTTTCATTGAACTGAATAGAACGTTGTGCTCTGGCACGGACCATATATTCAATTTGAACTCTCTACAATACATGTCATGTTATAAATTTACGTTAAATTACCAGTAATAAAAGGTCGTTTACTTTCCGGGTGGCTCTTCCTTTCACAACTGAATGACTAACAACATAGCAAGTAATTTGAACGGTAGGACTAGAAACTGAGGCAGGATCTTATATGGTTTGGTCAGATCTAGTAAGTTGGATTATAGCTTTTCGCAAATCGTGGATTTATTACCGTCTAAAGGAAGAGTGTAGTTATTGACAACACTGTGAGAAAATATTAAAAATACAGCAAGAGGTTTTTCTCCAAAAATATTTCCTAGAACTTGGGCTACAAATGAACAGGACGAGCGGACATATGGGAGACAAAGACGCGAAAATTTCTTATGCTCGAAATTTTCATCCAAAAAAGTTTTGCCTATGGTAACCCAGTATAAATGAGGTACCGTATCTTTTTGAAATTATAGAAAATATGTAAAAATTTGCGGATAAAAATTTCAAATCGATCCGGTATATATCAACCATATCATTTACAAGAAATTTTATCGACTTTCCCGCCCAACGAAGGAATGAGTCCCTAAAGACAGCAAAATATGATTGAAGCAGGTAGATCACAAAAAAATGAAAAAGCGTTCACAATATTTTAACACCACTTTTCGCTCAAGGAATCTTCCACAGTGAAAATAATCCTAACCACCATCCGCATGATTAATGAGTTTCCTTTTAGATTCCATTGACAAAAAAGAGTTCTGATTTAGACTTCGTAACAGAGTCTGTTACGATCAAATGAATAATTTTTGTTTAAAACCTGTTCATGCAGTGTACAAATGGAAAACTATACAAAAATTCACTATACGTACACAATTTCCGTTACTGCATATAAACAATTTGACGAGAAAATGACTTGAAACTCACCGAGCTACAAATTGGTAATCATTTTGGTATGATTTGCCTCCGGCCTCGAGCCTACACGTGTTCCAGAAATACTCGAGCATTGTGTGTTATTCAGTGTCCACAGCCTGCGCTGGCCACAGTGTTAAGAAGTGTAACACGGATACACACGGCCTTATATAGGCCTTTTAAGATGCATTTAGGCCTAAACTAATCCCTGCTCTACCCACTGTTTTTTTCCTATCTAGAAAATTTTATTTCTCGTTCAGAAAATGAGTTCAATAGCAAACGTTTGAGATTTTTTTATTGCTCACGATATACCTATATATTTATTTGTAATTTTCGAGCCGAATTACTGGAAATGAATATTCTTTTGGTTCTGTGTACGAGTGCAATAATGTAATAAAAAATATTTACCAATCGGCAACAGTTTGCATCATAACCTGCAAATTGTCCAATTGTTATTTTAATTTGTAGGTGAATCATACAAAAATTTTATGGCTACTATAAGAAAAATTCAAAACAGAAACGTAGTTGCACGCACTTTCCACTGACCGCACTTACTCTCCGCACTTTCCTCGTAGTAATGAAATTAATAAAAATGACATTGTGCCAACTAATATTCTTAATTTCATTATTTTTGGAGAAGGAGGAATTTTGGAAATTCAGAGTTGCTGGCTGTATCAGTGCAAGACCAGTCTCAGATAAGGTACCTATAGTTGACCGCATGTAGTTGAGATAATACTTCGTAACTCAAATTTGACACGAGTGAAGTTTCCAAGTATAAACGAAACACGTTCCGTCCCTGGGTCCCAGACTTATAATTAGTTATTCCTCACTTAAAAAAATCTAAATATTTGAGTACTACTAATAACGTGTCTGATAATTGCTCTGATAAAAGCGAAGAATCAAAACAAATCATGGGAAGAATTTCAAAAAACGTTTATATGGTTTGAGAGTTCTAGGACTCTCTAGGACTTTCTAGGTCTTTCTAGGACTTTCTAGGTCTCTCTACGACTCTCTAGGATTTTCTAGAATCTCTAGGATTTTTCTAGGACTCTCTACGAATCTCTAGGATTTTTTTCTAGAAAAATCTCTAGGATTTTTCTAGGACTCTCTACGACTCTCTAGGACTTTCTAGGACTCTCTAGGGCTCTTTAGGTCTCTCTAGGGCTCTCTAGGACTCTCTATGACTTTCTAGGTCTCTCTACGACTCTCTAAGATTTTCTAGAATCTCTAGGATTCTTTTTTCTAGAAAAATCTCTAGGATTTTTCTAGGACTCTCTACGACTCTCTAGGATTTTCTAGGACTCTCTAGGTCTCTCTAGGACTCTCTAGGACTTTTTAGTACTCTCTAGGACTTACTAGGACTCTCTAGGACTTTCTAAACTCTCCAGGACTTCCTAATACTCTCTAGGACTTTCTAGTACTCTCTAGGACAGTTAGGACTCACTAGGTCTCTCTAGGATTTTTTAGGACTTTCTAGGACTCTCTAGGACTTTCTAGGACTCTCTAGAACTCTGTAAGACTTTTTAGGACTCTCTAGGACTCTCTACGACTTTCTAGGACTCTCTAGAACTCTGTAAGACTTTTTAGGACTCTCTTGGACTTTCTAGGACTCTCTAGGACTCTGTAGGACTTTTTAGGACTCTTTAAGACTATCTAGAAGGCTGTGGCGCAATCCTGAAATAGTCAGCGAGTGGTCTTCTAACGGAACAGTCAATCAGTCATGCCTGTAACATCGCTGATCCTACTGAATGTACAGTCAGTACAATCAGCATCGATTGAACTGATCAAACATTAAGTACAATTTATAACACTGATTATAAAATCAGTACAGTTGATTGCCCTGATTCTACAATCAGTACGATTGAAATAACTTTTTTATTAAGCGCGAAGATTTATTTGTCGTATATTTCCTAACAATACTAACAACACTCATTCTAATGGGCGTGTAAACACGTATTGTTTTAGTCGGTTTGTTAGCAGGTGGATCATATTTATCGATTATCAGCAAAGTACAATTTAGTGTGTATTCTACACTCAGAGAAATAAGAGAGAATTTGTCCAAATAGCGATACACTTTTTATCCTCGTGTCATCCTAACCCATGCAGTATTTGGTTCGGCAAAAGACCGCTTCAGTGCAACGTCCGCTCGCTGCTCGTGCTAAGTATAACAAAATGAGTCACTATTTGATCAATATAACCATTCATTTTTCCGCGTGTAGTCATTGTCGAACACTCCCTCCTTATATCTAATAAATCTTAATTAATTCTTAGCTCCAGGTTTAATGAATTCCATGACTCGCCCACTTGAATTAAACTAAAAAATTACATACCTTCTATATATAAACTCAAGGTTCCTATACATTCAGAGAAATGAATTAGACTTGGTCAAAAATAGCGAGACAATTTTTTGCCCTTCTTAATTGAGTCATCTTGACCTATTTTTGCCTCGACAAGGGGCTTATAAATGCTGGGAAGTTTTAGTACTTGACATTTTCACCCATTCATATTTCTGAGTGTACTGATCCCACAGGCTAGCCAGAGAAGATCCTGGGCTTCTTGCTCGCCGGCCTGTGCTCGTCAAAGAGCGGCAGCAGAGCCGTTCATTTTAGTAGACTTCGCTTGTGGCAAAATTTAAACTTGTGAGTGAAGCGAGATTTACTGGCCGCTTCTTGGTCGCTGGGCCAGCCATGCCTGGCTAAATTTACACCAGTTCAGGGCATATACCTTCAAAAAAAAGTTGAGAGATCGTAAGTTCATCAGCCAATCATTGACGGCATTTCAAGCAAAATCCACCAATTGTAGACAAGAAAATAGAGCGCAAGTACTTACGTTCTCTTAGCGAGTTTTGAAAGTATGGCCCCAGTATACAGTATACTGGAACCGTGCCAGTAAAAATAGTTACGTGTTTGTAACTCCATCAGCCAATCACTGGCGGCTTTTGCAAGCTAAGCCCGCCAATCATAGACGAGAAATCGGTCGCTATGTGTACTTAGGCCATAACGTGTACAAAGCGAGTTTTGATAGTATCACCCCTGGGAATTACTTAAAATGAAGACACACTTCTCAACTTTACGGCATTTGCTTAATAACCCATAAATACGATATACGATCCAAATTAAGTTCTAAACGTATTAATATCATTAATCTATAATATTTTGAAGTGCGCTCGCAATAATTCAAATAAACAGAAAAGAAGAACCAAGTCAAAATGTAATTAATGGTTAAATCTAAGAAGAAGTAACTAGGATGTGAAAAAAGTATAAAAAAAATTTCGTGGCTGGAATAAACTCATTTTATACCAAAATCTTTACTACGGTTGATTTGAAAATAAATTCTTTAGTTAATTAAGGTTTTGATAAGCATAGTTTTCTTCGATTTTGTATCAAGATTCAATTATTTTTTTTATATCCTGCTGCCGGCCCTCCATGACGAGGCTGTAGAACTGGAGCCATACTTTCAAAACTCGCTAAGTGAACGTAAGTACTTACGCAATATTTCTTGTCTATGATTGGTGTATTTTGCTTGAAAGGCCGTCAATGATTGGCTGATGAACTTACGATCTCTTAACTTTTTTTTGAATGTATAGGACCAGGGCCATACTTTCAAAACTCGCCAAGTGAACGTAAGTACTTACGCACTATTTTCTTGTCTATATTGTTGGTGGATTTTGCTTGAAAGACCGTCAATGATTGGCTGATGAACTTACGATCTCTTAACTTTTTTTTTAAAGTATGGGCCCTGATAATTAGTAGGTCACACTGTCTAGATATAGTGACACTTTCTGCACGTAATTCTGCTACGCTTTTTAGCTAAGCCAACCCGAGTTAGAATGACCCACACAAAAAATAAGGGCATAAAGTGCATCGCTATTCGGACAAGGTCTCCGTCATTTCTTTGATTGAAGCTGCGGGCTCGCGTCTCAGAAACAAATCGGATTCAACATTCTTATTTGGAGAGAATTAAATGGCTAAAGAAAGCATTGAATTTACGGTAACCAAACGATTACGGTTTTTGGGTTTTCGCCAATTAATAAATAATCATTAAATTGCAACGATGTCGGTTCATTTACGTTTCATCACTTTTTTTAGACAACTTTCTGATATTGAACTGTAATATTTTTTGTCAGCACAAAAACGATAACAAGTAATTATGGTTTTAACAAACGTTAAACAACATTAGACATGTAATTCCTAGCGGGTGCTAATTTTTAAAGAAATTTTAGATATATTAAAAAATTTCAAGGATTCGATAAAAATAAAGAAGGTATTAGTTTTTCGTCTATTCTATCCAACATATCGCATTAATATTGAACAAACCGTACCTAAATTCGTTACGGATTCGCAGAAATGAACACGCGCGTTTTCTTGCGAAATTAAAAAAGCGAATATGTTTTACGAACGAAGGCCTTTAATTATATCAAAGATATGAAGTAACGAAGGAAAAATTGATCACAGATCTAAATCAAGGTCTCATCTCAATGAGATAATTTATTTATCAAATTTCAGGTTCGTCGTTACAGTCAAATTATAAAAATGTAATTGGCAATAACAATTTGTATATTCTTTATCCATATAAATAACTTGTTCAACATACAAAACGCAACATATCAAACAGTAACTGACTTCATTATATTAAAGGTAGTCCAATATTAAATAGGAGAAGAATGTGGTAATGAACTGGATTTCTAATTTGTGAAAATAAAAAAAATTATTTCTGCAAAGTCTTGAAAAAATCGACCAAAGTCTCAATGCACGGAGCACATTTTTCCATGCAGAAACTTAGCCCGAAGAAAATTTTACTTACATTATATTGTGCCGAGACAAATTTAAAAGTAGGCTTCTTGTAAATTATCAGTAAACATTAGATAATCGGCGTTCATTATCAACTTCATACATAAACTACCATATAGACGATTGTCACTCCCTAATTACATACAAGTTAAACTGAGATTTACATACAAGATACAATTTAATTTCACGAGGCTGTGTTTCGAATGCATGCAACGAGATTGTAACCTACAGATTATTAAGATCGTGGCATTGATACAGAAACTTAGCCCGAAGAAAATTTTACTTACATTATATTGTGCCAAGACAAACTTAAAAGTAGGTTTCTTGTAAATTATCAGTAAACATTAGATCATCGGCGTTCATTATCAACTTCACACATAAACTACTAAGAAAGACGATTGTCACTCCCTATTTACATACAATTTAAACTGAGATTTACATTCAAGATACACTTTAATTTCACGAGGCTGTGTTTCGAATGCATGCAACGAGATTGTAACCTACAGATTATTAAGATCGTGGCATTGATATGACAGCTTACAATATAAGGAAGTTAACTTGGACGAAAAATAACAAGTTTACAGCGATAGGAAATCGAGATCATACCGAGCTCAAAGTATATAGTTTATCGAGATCTAAGCTGATTGTATACTTAAGTCACCCCGAGGGGGTGATTGTTTCAAGATCTCATCGAGGCTATATCTTGTATCAACATCTCATAGAGGTTATACAGCTTATGGTATATCAAGATTTAACAGAGGTCACAGCGTTACGATACTGAGATAACTTTGAGGTCCAGATTTTAGTATGTCGAGATCAAACCGAGGTTACAGCTTATAGTATATTGAGATCACATTGAGGTCACAGCCTTTATTATACAAAGATAACACCGGAGTCACAGCTTATAGTACAATCGAAATCGCATCAAAGTTACACCCACTGTTACACACCAACATCACACCAACATCACAGCAACATCACACCAACATCACACCAACATCACGCCAACATCACACCAACATCACACCAACATCACGCCAACATCACACCAACATCACATCAACATCACACCAACATCACACCAACATCACAACATCACACCAACATCATACCACCATCACACCAACATCACACCACAGTTTCCCCCATTGGACTGGCCTCCAGACTGGAGCTGGCCCAGGTTGTGTCGTCTGGGTCTGTAGCAGGAGACAGCGCCCCGCCACTGCCTGCGGTCATGGGACAGACATTGCAGACTAAACATTCTATCAGAAAACCGAACTAGACACTGGAATAAAAAATATTCAGTTTCGTTTAGCATTCATATTAAGAAAAATTTTCCAAATTAAAGATGTGTGTTAATTCAATATAAAGATTAATCAACGACTTCTGTCGAGAATAAACATGTATATACTGGCAAATCTAACACCATAAATATACGACAGACAACATAAATTCAAGACCGTACAAATGGCGTTGAACAGCATAAAAGATGTGTCGTGTTTGATAAAAAATGATGAAAATTGTACCTATTGACAATTTTAGCCATGTTGGCATGTTTTTCAGGTGAGAGTGAAGTGTGTTTTGCATTACTCTTAGTTTTATAGAATATCACTATAAAAAATTATTCTTATAAAGGTGGTAAGCCAGCCACTTTAACCCTCTACCGCTGTAGGTCACTCAACGAGAACATAACTTTCAACTTAAATTATACGTATAGACGCTATAGTTTGAGTGTAGCAACCTGAGGACGTTTGTATGCAACAGAGAACATTTTAAAGTTGTCATCAGTGGCGGCAACCATCAGTGCACGTCATTTTGCGCTCACTAGAACGTATCCTTTTTGGGGAGTAGGCTTGTGACAATATTGCTCCGGTTACTCATGTCAGGCGGTATAGGGTTAATTCGTGATTACCTTGCAGAAAATAGTTTCAATTGTTCTGGAAAATTATGCAATCATGCCCATGAGTTCAATCATTACCTCATTACCAACTTTATCCTCTCAACACATTTAGACAATTTTATGCGAATCCTTGAATGGCGAAGACTTATCTATCAAGCTAAGAAAACCATAAAGTTACGTCATTTACTTCTCGCGTTGATTTAAAAATCAATATGTAAATGCGATCAAGGCTACCGCATCGTGAATACGTCCGCTCCTCGAACGTCTGACAAATTGTTGTCTCAGAAACACAGCGCAAGTGGCCAGGATATTAATCTTCACTTACATGAATTGAGATTGCCTTAGAACAATTCTTATGATGAAAATTTCGCATGAGTAACCAGCCAATGGAAACCCTTCAACACTTAAAACGTGATCAATTTACTGATTAACAAGCGACACCAGCATGCAACGCCTCGTTAGACCCAATTCGCAAATTTACTCAGAATTGTGAGTAAAAATTGTAAGCATAAATTGTGAGCAAAACTTGTGAGTAAAAAGTGTGAGTAAAAATTCTGAGTAAAATTTGTGAGTAAAATTTGTGAGTAAAATTTGTGAGTAAACATTGTGAGTAAACATTGTGAGTAAACATTGTGAGTAAAAATTGTGAGCAAAACTTGTGAGCAAAAATTGTGAGCAAAAAGTGTGAGTAAAAATTGGGAGCAAAATTTTTGAGCAAAAATTGTGAGGAAAAATTGTGAGGAAAATTGTGAGGAAAATTGTAGGTAAAAATTCTGAGTAAAAATTGTTAAATACAATTGTGAGTACAAATTGCTAAATAAAATTGCGTCTAAAAATTGTCGCTAAAAATTGTGAGTAAAATTTGAGGGTTAAAATTGTGAGTGAAAATTGTGAGCAAAAAGAGTGAGTAAAAATAGTGCGTAAAAATTGTAAGTACAAATTTTTAATAAAAATTGGGAGTAAAAATTGAGCAAACGTTGCTAAATAAAATGGTAAAAATTGCAAATTAAAATATTACGGTTTGTGCTTACAGATTGGGGAGAACGCGATTAAGTTTCGCTTAAAAGCCAAGACGCAAGTTGACTGCAAAACTTATGTAAAAGTTTACGATTTGGTAGTGGACGATGCGATATTGAATCGAACAAGGTAGACCATGGTTGAACTAGTAGATATATAGTTCAACCATGAGGTAGACATCTATCAGGAAATATCCAGGGACGAATGGTATTAACATTGTCACCTGACACTTGATAATAAACGTTTAAAAATTAATTTTAATCCCATGTATGATGATTTCTAATTTTTAAAAATTATTCACTCTGTCAATTGATTCATGCATTGTCTCCGACTTTACGCAAGTGTGCAAAATTTCAGATCAATTGGACAGGTAGAAGTGTGTTATATATGGATTATAAGATTTGTAGCAGACAAACAAACAACAAGAAGTGAAGTTAAAGAGAAGTGTTGCAAAAAGTACATCCAAAATTGCTGGTCTTACTGGTCCTTCATCCAGGTCCGGATACATGGCTTGCAAAACTTGTGAGTAAAAATTATGAGTAAAAGTTGTGAGTAAAAGTTGTGAGTAAAAATTGTGAGTAAAAATTGTGAGTAAAAATTGTGAGTAAAAATAATGATTGAAAATTGTAAATAAATATTGTGAGTAAAAATTGCGAGTAAAAACTGTAAGTAAAAATTGTAAGTACAAATTCTCAATAAAAATTATAATTAAAAATTGAGTAAAAGTTGTTAACTAAAATGGTGAGTATAAATTGTCAATAAAAATTGCGATTTAAGATATTACGGTTTGTGCTTACAGATTGGGGAGAACGCGATTGCGTGGCTGCAATGGAGGCCAAATCTGGGCGGCTGTTCTGTTCTGAAGGAATTAAAGTAGACGTTTTATATTTTTTGTTTCTACAATTCATTGACCCTTATATATATAGTTCATCCATTTATAATTTGACAAGTCAAGATTTTCAGTTTTAAAAGACCTAATATTTGCTACATGAGAATTGTTAAATTCTTATGAATATTTGGAACATTAAAGAAACAAATATAAATAGGAACAAACAGACAAATAAATTCATAAGCCTTTTCAAGCATCGTCCAATATGATCAATGGAAAATCAAGATATTACTCAATATATTTAAGAATACCTCCCGTTTCTCACAACTCATTCCTTCTAAATAATAATTACCTTCCACTCCTAACGTTTTTCCCCAATCCATTAGCCTCCTCCTACTTACCTGTCCTCTACGATGTCGCTGCGCCCAAGAATAGAGATATGGCGCCCCATCGTCGGGTGTGTTGCTATGGCTACGATCTCATGCTCATGTCCTTGCGGTACACGATTCCCGTAACCAGGGTAAACGAAACTCTTTGTTCGGATAAAGTTAAACCGATCTCTTCCTGCATTCGGCTTGAAAGTCAACATGTGGGAATTTTGTCCACATGACATGAATCTGCCGTCGGGGTGGTCGATCATGGATTCTTTGAGATCGTAACCTGAGATCGTAACAGGTCGTTCAACCAGGCTCTTGGTACCAACAATATTAAAGTGACGGTAGGCTTGAAGCTTGACGTTGCTTGGAGATGAATTTGGTTCTTCTCTGATGATAGAAGTCCCGCTAGTCTCTGCTTCTTCATTCATGCTATTCTGGAGAATCGGTCGTCTGTCAGTCGAGTTTTGGTTTCCGAATACCCAATGACCTGGTGAAGCCGTTACTTCCATTGATCGGTACAAAAACCAACGTTCGAACATCGACATGAAAACCACTATGCCACACACGAGGAAGCAGATCGTACACACGCTCGTTTGAACTCTAAAGCCTGCCAAAATACAAAAAAAAAATAGAGAGAAATAATACGTGAATGAAAATTCTTCAAGATTCGAATTTAAGACATTTCATTTCGGTGTGAACGGTTACCACGCTGTAAAGAGATAATATGATTTAATGAACAACTGAAGATAACTCCAACGAAAATAATCGACTATTACAATTTCCCAATAAGACAAAAGTGGGCAAAATTCTACATTTTACTATCAGTAGCTTCAATAATCCTTGCCCAGATGCGAATTTTCGTCCTACTTCAATACTTCGAAATAATATCGAATTTCTCACTGAAGTCATCGGAGGGCCGAAGCATATGTAAATTCAAGTCATACCTAACAACATAATAATAAAAATAAATGTCTCAATGAAGTCATCGGAAGGCCGAAGCATTTGCAAATTCAAGTTATTCCTAACAACATTAAAATAACAAATTTTTCACTAAAGTCATCGGAAGGCCGAAGCATACGTAAATCCAAGTTATTCCTACCAACATTAAAATAAATAAATTTCTCACTAAAGTTATCGGAGGGCCGGAGCTTGGCTAGGATTTGTGACGAGATATCCTGACTCCCAAGCGCCACGACATGCCACAGCAGGCCTAGCCTGTCCAGCACGAGCAGCACCAGGACCAGCAACTCTAAAGTGAACGCCAGCCACAGACCGGCAGTGTCGCAGTGCACCTGCGAGGTGCCTTCGTCCGATAACGAAGTCACGGTCATCATGCGATTCAAGCCGCTCGAAAAACACTGCACAATTGATCCCATATACTTTATCATTCACAAAAATTTAGCATATCTCTATTAAAAACGTTTCGGAGACCAGCTCCATCGTCAGTTCGATAAATCTAGAACACAGATAAAGGTAGAAAATTAGTTTGGAGTTGACGATGGAGCTGGTCTCCGAAACGTTTTCAATAGAGATATGCTAAATTTTTGTGGTGTTTTCTTCGCTTTTAAATTTCTAGTGAATCTGCGATTAAAGCAATCTAGTGGCTTTTTTACTATATCATTCATATACTCATACATGTACGTTTTCTTATACATTTTGTTCGCCCTTGACCGATATCGGGCGAACGAATTTGTCCAGGCCGCTTTTCGCCGATTTAGTTTTTTTTTTATTTTCAGAACTACGAAGCATCGGTGAATAAGAGTAGCAACATAATTGAATATTAATGAAGGAATCAATAGATTTACGAAGTACATATAAGCTAGTTTAAATATAAAGCATCATTAATTCTAAGGTGAAGAATCAAAATGAGAAGCGCATGCAGTAGTAAATTAAAACCAGGCACTAGTAAATTTTACGCCTAAAAATTTTCGAGTCCAGGATTCGAAGAACTATATTCTCGTGGAATCAATGATATAACAACTCTAGAAGACAATAAAATGTTTCAAACATAAACATTACAAGCGCATTTTGACTCTTGTATCAAATTAGATCGGTAATGAGACAACAATTTATTATTCATGTATTTGTTTACCTAACATGTACCGAAATAGGGAAACATGTTCCACAGTAAAGACTTGAAGAAGAAATGCACTTAATATAGCACACAAGAGACTTAATTTTGAAAATTTCTTTACTCACCAAGATACCAGAAATAAGTTGTAGCACGAAGTGTACAACGCCTAATTCCGCCCTGATAAAGTAGGCGAGTGCAGCCTGTGCTAAGGAGCACAGCATGTAGATAAACAGGAAGGAGAATACGCACAAACGTCTGTTTTGTTCACTCATGATTAATAGGGTTCTCTTTAATTGCAAATTTTAATACTCTTACTGGATATATACGAGTCAACTGAGCCTTTGAAGGGCAAGTCTCAATTTTGCAGCACTTCCAGACATGTGCAATCAAAGGATTCTACTTGTTTCACGGATAGCGTTTTGTGTCTGAGATAAAATTACAATTTAGCCGTAAATACCATGCCTAATGTTAATTTTCCAAATAATGGAGAATTATCAACGACATAGAGTCATAGACTATAGAGTTCCCGTTACAAGAAAATGAAGACTATCGTGACCGAGAACGCAACGCCTGAAATGATCCCAGGTGGATATACCTACGCAGTGATGACGTAGTCGGTTAGCCTACTTGCAGGTAGTTGTGATATTTGGCGTAAGAACAAAAAATGTAAAATGAGGAAATTTTGGTTATGCTAGAAGATTAATGGTGTCACGCAAGATATTCAACGAGATATACTACTGAAATTTTGATCTACACTGGTTTTAAAGCACGTTCACAACTATCGATGAACAAATTTTCAATACGCCAGCTAAATAATAAGTATTTCACTCTTGCACGAAAATTAATGGAAGGCTGATTAGCACAAGTTTCTGAGACCAATTCCATGCGTCACTGTTTTAGATTCACGGTTTCCTGGCACGATCACTTTTTGATGAACTGTTAATTGTTTGAAAAATAAATTTCTTTGTAAGGTTTGAAAGGTTCTCCTCGTATCGTCTTAATTCTATGAATGTATTATTGCACTGCACAGCTTTGCCCAACTGTTTCTTAAATTGATATGGAGACAGGACAGCAGTACCTCCAGACTTGTGTTAGTCAGGAGATGCCTGCTACAATGCACAGCAACTTAGTTTACGGGTTTCAAACTAGCATGTAAGTAAAGAGGATCAACAGAGAAATTGAAATGGGGATCAAAGAGTCGTTGCTACATCTCATCTTCCCATGTTTAAATTAAAATCAATGCAATGTTTGTTACAATATAGGCAATTTGAAAATCTCACGTCAGAAACGTGTATATATTTATGAAAGTTGAATGCTTTCTTAAAAAAATATCATTGCAGCAAGTGGAGTGAGCTATTGCTGGGCCCACACCCGGCACGCAGAATAATGTCTGGAAACTTTTTAATTATTATTATAAAAAATATCCCGTGTCCTGGCCTGTTGAACCCATGGCCTGGTGGCCCACTAGGCAGGGTGACTCGGTGGTTATAATTCAGAGTACTAGTATTGGTGTAAAGAAGAGCGGGTTCGATCCCAGCTCACTGTGACAGTTCTAGACAGAATCGACGAGGAGGCCGGGCGGTTAAGCACAACAAAATTGGAGCAGTGAGTTGCGTGTTCAAAACTGCAACAAGCTGTGGATATTCGGTGATATTATAAATCGGTGATTGGTCTAGCAGCCCAGTAAACCGACGTCTCGTTCAAATTCACGGCTGGACTCACGGCCGGTCTCCCCAAATTCAGTGAACAATGAATATCTCCCAAATAAATGAACGTAGCTCGATGAAACTTGGTACACATATTCAGGGTGGCCCAGTGGTTAAGTTCAGAGTACCAAGATTGGCGCAGAGAGGCGCGGGTTCGATCCCAGCTCTGTGCGTCAGTTTCTGGTCAGAATCGGCGAGGAGGCCTGGCNCTTAGTTTACGCGTTTCAAAATAGCATGCAAGTAAAGAGGATCAACAGAGAAATTGATAAGAAGATCAGAGAGTCTTTGCTATATTTCATCTTCCCGTGTTTAAATTATAATTAATGTCATATTTGTTACAATATAGGCCATTTGAAAATGTCATGTAAGAAACGTGTATACATTCATGAAAGTTGAACGTGTATTTTTATAATAAATATCATTGCAGCAAGTGGAGTGAGCTGTTGCTGGGCCCACACCTGCTGGTACGTAAAACGATGTCTAGAAACTTTTTAAATTACTTCTGTAATATGTATTCAGTGTACTGGCCTGTTAGAACCCATAGTCAGGTGGCCCACTGGGCAGGGTGGCCTAGGAATGGAGTAGATCAGAGTACCAAGATTGGAGCAGAGAGGTGCGGGTTTGATCCCAGCTCTGTGCGCCAGTTTCTGGTCAGAATCGGCGAGGAGGCCGGGCGGTTAAGCAAAGCAAAATTGAAGCAGTGAGTTGCATGTACAAGCCCACAGCAAATTGTGGATATTCTGCAATGTTAAGAATCGGCGACAGGCCTCCGGCCTAATAAACGCTGAAACCGCTATATATTGTATTATTATACGTACATTATACTAGGATTGGAGCTGCAGAGTGATGCGAGTTCAGCGAACCCAGCTCACTGCGACAGTTCTGGACAGAATTGACGAGGCGGCCGGGCGGTTAAGCACAACAAAATTGGAGCAGTGAGTTGCGTGTCCGAAACTGCAACAAGCTGTGGATATACTGTTATATTAAGAATCGGCGATAGGTCTATCCATGGTTGAAGTTCAACCATGGGTCTAACAGCCCAGTGAACCGTGACCCCGCTATACAGTTTAATTTCATTTTAAAGCTATTACTGTTTTTTATGTCTTAACCTAGAATTTAATGTCTTGCAAAAGACTTTTTAAGTATATAGCTCTTGTTTCGAAACCAAAAAAAAACCTTGTTTGGGCATAGAGTTTTTCCTGAAACGCACAAAATTTGTCGAAGCTAGGAAAATTAAGATCCTGACATGCTGAAAATATACTGTAATAGCTTAAGGAAGTGCTAGTCTTTTTGATTTTTATGGTCACGCTGAGTAGAAATCTCCTTTCCGAAACGCTAATAGCTAAAATTTGCCTAGCGTACATGTTCACTTGAGGTTTCATCTTCAGAATGTGCGTGCGGATACGTGTAGTAAAACGGATCGGAATTTCACAACATTTGACTTCTTGTCATGTGTTCAAATGTGTGGTGCTGGTAAGATCGTCATAAGAGCATCAATAGCGACTCGCCGACTTGCAGATGCAGTAACAGTCTTTCTTCTCGTTCTCGTCTGTCATAATTTTGTGAAAATATACTCACAATCAGATTTGGTGATATATTTGATGAAGTTTATATGTATGCTGTATCGAAGCTTATTAGAAGGATAATTGTTTTCAGTGTGAATTAAAAATTTCAACACGGCGTACACGCAACACGCTGTATTTTTGCATAGTTATTTCATAATTTTCATTTGGACCGCAAGGACCCACCCAGGAGGACCAAGAGTGTGGACTAGCATTGCAATTTGCACATGCAGATGCAGACTGCAGTGATTGTATGGACTGCTGCGACTGCACACTGCAGTAACTACTCAGTACTCACCTAAAGGCTAAGGAAAGAAACATCAAAAGGTCAGTAAGTACATGCCTTATCATCTTGTGGTATTCAGGTACCGTAAAATGGGGTAACTTAGACCACTTTTTTTTTATAAATGATGCCATTTTTTTACTAGCTAAATTAAACTTGAATTGAAACATGCAAAATACAGGTCTATACTCTAGCTTCACTCACCATAAATTGCTGGCTCCTGCCTCTCATAATCTTTATGTAAAGCCCCAATGAGGAGACGCACTGCTGCCATCCGTCTTCTGGGTCAATATTTGCACAGCTGCAATATGGTGACCAGGCTATGAAGTTCCTCAAAGTCTAATTACTATTTTTCTTTTTCTCCTCACTATTTACTGCCACACTGGTTGGTGGAAGTGCTGAAAAAGAAATACAAAGTGAAATCAACAAGTGAAGTGGAGTGATCAAAATCTGAGTTGTGCTCAGGCTGGGAGGTGTGCTACCTGCATACCCGAAGTCTTCAAATCAAATTAAAAAAAAAAAACCACATACCGTCCTTATTCTCGTTTGTCATAATTTTGTGAAAATATACTCACAATCAGATTTGAAGATTTATTGTGATGAATTATATGTATAGAAGGAGAATTGACTTCAGTGTGAATTAAAAAAAAAAGTTAAATCTCTACACGCTCTATTTTTCATTTTTGCTTTGGCCTAGGCCCTAGGCTAGTTATTTCAATTATTTGGACAGCAAGGAGGACCGAGAGTGTGGACTAGCATTGCACATGCAGTGATTGTATGTATGTACTGCACAACTGCAGTAACAAGAACTAGCTACCTACCTGAGGAAGGAAACATCAAAAGGTCAGTAAGCTCATGCCCTATCATCTTGTGGTTGTTTTTAAGTGTGCCAACTGCCAACAAGACTGACACAGTGACACTGAGTCTGTCAGTCTGAATTTGGCAGGTGGCAGCATTGTTGCCTTGATTAAGTAATATTTCAATATAATTTGTATTCATATTTATTTTTGCTGGTTTTTGTTTTTTAATTCCTGTGTAGCTGTGTAACAGTGTAACCTCAAACCTGTGTTCACTATTTTCTACTAAACTGAAATCACTAGGTAGCTACTACAAATTGAATGTGTGTGAATTAATATGTAGTACCTACATATATGTCAATTACTGTGCTACCATTTATTAATATTTTTATAATTTTGCAGAACTTTGGAGTTGGAGCTGCCCTTAATGCCAATAAATTTGCCTTAATATAAGTAATGTTATTTACAAAAATTCAGCTGCAGTGTAAATAATATTTATTTTACAAAATGCATCTACTAATATTATTCATAAATGTTGATTTGTATAAATTATTTAAATTTCATTAATGTTAGTTTGTTAGCACTTATCATCTTATGTCATGAGATATTATCTTGTCTAAGTTACTCAGACTGCTCTAACATTCCTTATTTTATTTTGATTTTTTACTCCTAGGGTCCAGCCTCCAGGCCCCCAGGGACATTGTTTTTTAACTTTCCTTATATTGTTAATTTGTTATACCACTAGCCAGGGTGCAAACTGCAAAGAAATGTGAAAATGAAAAATTTTGAACAACATCTCTTTGCACATTTGTATCTTTGTCAAGAAATCTTGAAAGTTTAGGTAGTTCTAGCAACAAATCCTTAATGATACTAGTCCTGGCCTGGACTTCTGGTGAATGGTGACACACTGACACCTCAGGCCTAAATTGAGGGGAAACAATTGCCAAACTCTGCATAGTGGTTTGGTTTTATAGCACACCATCACAGAGTGACTGAGCTTGTGGAGTCTTTATGATTTAATTATTTAATGTGGGTTTCAGTTGTGGTGCTAAGTTG